GTCATGAATTCTCTAGTAGTGCTGCACTGGGAAGCCTGGTGGGTTGGGTGGAAAGGAAGGAACAGAGCAGTATACCACCTGGGGCCTCATTGGGAAGCAGAAAAGGCTAAGGACTGGGAAAAAGAGATAGTGAAGTAACAATTTGTTTACAGGAGGCTGAGAGGAGGTAGGGATTTTTGCCAGCAGGAAATACGACATTACTAGTGATCCTCAGGGAGAACTCAGTGCTCACCTCTGAGTGAGGGAGTATATGGGTTGTTATTTTTCTATGAAAGAAAAACAGGTGAGAAAGCAGCCTAAGCTGCTGCAGGGCACCTGCAGAAAGCCTATGTTGTTACCCTGTTGCTCCCTCTACTGAGCTATCCAAACTGTAGACTAGGAGAAACGTCATCACCTTTTTTTACTGTTCCCCCTGCTGATTCTAGAGCAGTTATTTGTAAATTGTGTAAAACATGTTGCTTGGTGTTCTACAATCTACAGTCAGATCTGTGGTGGCTGGTTCAAAGTATAGGGTAACTAAAGCTGCATAGTAACCTGTCAAAACTTGTAGATTTACAACAGTGCAACTTCAGGTTTGAGATTTATGTATGTTACAGCAGGCTCTAAAATATGAGACTAACTAGTTTGGAATACTTTGGGTAGTTTCCGTCTGTCAGGTAAAGAACTTTCAGAGCTACATAATATGTACAGACTAAAAGATGTGCTTGCTTACTGGAAGCTCAGTAATTGATACCATCTCAAGTGATATGCTTGGAATGCTTTCAGTATTTGCTTTTGAGTGCCTTTCATTCAAAGCAGTATTAAAGCTCTATAAGGGTTTAGGTGCTACAGTCTATATTGACTTTTGACCTGGAGCTATTGAGAAATGGCCATAGTAGGATGGGAAGAAAATATTTTACGAGCAACTCTCATGTGAGGGATTCAGTGAAAAGTCAAAGGAGACACGCTGTAAAATGCTTAAAATTTATTAATCATCATTACTTTTTTTTCATAAGGAACAAAAATAAAACAATATTCCAAAACAAAATAGAAGAAGAAAATATACCACACCCAGATAACATGACTAAGACTAAGAAATGGGATAACATCAATTCTGAAAGAAATGACCCAATAAATCAGTTTTCCAAAAACAAAATAAATAGCAATGGTTCAGCTTTTAAAAGCCTCCTAGGAAAGAATTTACATTTATTATTATTATTATTATTAACTTTTGTTTACAAAAATCCTTCATATGCCCCTGTTGGCAAAAAATATATATATATATACTTCTGTAAACAGTTAACCACAAACAAAAAAATTTCCATATTTTCATACAGTTACTATGCTGATGGTGTTATGTAAACAGAGAGTAGTGTGCAGCAGCTTCTCATGATAGGATTTCTTTCTTTTTCTCATGAGAACACATAGGGAAATTTGCCCGTCATAAATTGTTCAAAATGTTGAAGTTTATAGTTTTGAGAAGGTATGGCTTTCTGCAGTCTAAGTTTTCCTTAAAGGAAAAAGAAAAATAAGCAGAGAGGTACAGTTTTCCTTAGGTGTTGGTTGGTTGGTTGTTTTCTGGACTTTAGCTTTTGATTTATCTCAATGAACTGGAATGAAAATGTTGTAAAAAAGGTCACTCTATGTCAATGGAAATATGACATATTGTCAAGTGTCTATATTATGCCACCACAGGCAAGCTTCAAGCCAGAAAAGAATGTTGTTCTCGTAATAGACTTTGTGCACGTGTAAATCCAGCTCTCAGTCTTACGGTACAGCACTTCTCAGAAGACAAACAAACAAACAGAAAATGTCAAAATGACCTTATGCTTTACCTCTCAAGATATAAAAGAAAAGACATGAAAAACAATGGAAGATATATTGGTAATGAAAACTGAAATAATGTAGACAGACATATTGAGTTTGTATGCAGAAAACATAATCTGTTCATCCACAATTTTAGCTGCTTTTGACACTGTTGTATTTTTTCAAAGTTTTTTATTTTTTTTTAGTCTTAAGTTCAACCCTTGTTTGACTTCTTCTCTCTAGTTCTAATTTTAGACATTCACTTGTTCCTGAGAGGTCTTTATCTATTTTGTTGCCTGTTGGGTGCTGGCTTGGAGAAGGCACTCAGCATTCACACAGCTGCATTTCTCTACATAGGTGTATGAATGATCAAGGTAGGTTCCGTCACTGCATGTCAGAGTCACCTTTCTTTGGCTGGTCTTGATTTCCTGACAACACGAGCATTTGTGTTCCATCGTGTTTGCCTCTGGAGAATATCTGATTGCAAAACCAACAAAAGAGAAATATTCAGAAATTATGTGAGAAATACCACTGTCCCTCCTACTCGTTACTAAATACAACCAGAAGTTGTGTGCTTGCATGTGGGACTGTTGCTCAGTATCACCATTCTTACAGTATTGTGGTGAAACATAAGTAAGTTGCTCCTTATTGTAAAAATGGACAGATATAGCTATTCATTAAGGCACAGAAAAAGTAAATTAATTAATCCAGATTGCATATTAAGCCAGTCCAAAATGAGAGAATAGTGAGAAACAAGTAACCTCACTTTTACGTGGACAAAATCAAAACTCAGGTTTATTCATTATGACACTGAACAGGCTGTTAAAACATTGTGAGTCTTGAGGTAATTAAGCTAGTACATCATCATGCCTGTTAAAAATTCTAGTTTGCACGATGGAAACAGCTGATGACTGGGTGGATGTTGGACATACTAGAAAATCACTTGTGATTTGCATTATGCAACTAGTGTAAAAAGTAGAAGACAAAAGACAACAATTATCTTTTATACCACTTACCGTGAGTAAGTATCACAACTGCCTTCACAGTATGTCATCTCAACAGGTGCAGGAGATACGCATCCATGATATTTGATGACAGTAGTGGTATTGTGCTTCATACAGCCTGAGGTTGTCACAAACCAATGAAAAATAGGTTAAAATATATGTGCATATAAATAGATATCTGTGTATGATAGACAGTTTGTAGTAGAAAACTGAGATAGATGGAGCTGAAATAGGAAATTAGGTCACAGTGCATTTCTCTTTTAATTGCTAAGGGCCAAATGATGATTCTTGCTGCTTGCATTATCAATGAATTAAAAATTCCCTTTTGCTTATGCAACATTGGTGCAGGATGGAGAAATAAAGAGCAGTACTGTGGCAACTGCTCAATGCACACCCACCTCCCAGGACTGGCTTCACTTTCTTCCTTAAAAGAGAATGTATCTATGGAAGTTGGAGAATAGTCATAGTCCTCTCCTTCCCACAAAAAGGCTAACATTTAACAGTAGGGGATGGGAAAGTTCACCATATCCATGTTTTCCAAGGCCCTAAAGTGCATGCTGGAAATGTTCTGTTCCTTTTTTTTTTTCCATCTGTTTCCTTTCTCACCCCAGTGTGAGGCAGTGGTCCCAAACTTGGTCTGTTCACCTCTTCTGTTTATGCATCTACCATGCAAAATGGACTAATATACCTAATAAGGCACATATTATCATTACTTACTCTTAACAAAATTATCATTACTTACTCCTTGGTTTTATTTGGCATTCTTTGCAGCAGCCATCGTCAGATAGCTTGATCTCATCCTTGAGTGGGAAAACAGAAAAAGATAACTCAGATTTCTTATCTGCATACTAAAGCAGATACTTTTCCTGCTTCCTAAGCTTCTCCGGCACCAGAAAGTTTTTTATATTGACAAGGAATCTAATTTCAAGCATGGCTAAATATTAAGGGCACATAACTACTTTAATTCAATATTAGTAAGAGTTCTTTGAAAGCTGACATTGAGGGGGACTGGAACTGCTTTGTTGTCATCAGAGGTCAGCAGTAAAATTTCAGAAATAAAACTTGTGGCACATGTGGGATATTTTGAGTGACCAAAGTCAGTACAGGTGAAGGATTATGTCAGACATGATAACACAATTAATGAAATAACTGACTCCCCAGATGTGTGGGGCTGGTTCCAATCTACCCTGAGCTGTATTAAGTTGAATGATGTTGTGAACTGAAGTCTCATTTTCCTTCACCTTTGCTCTCAATAAGTGAATTCTAAAAAAGAATTTATAATCATAAATAATTTAGGAATAAAAATATCTTTTTTTTTTTTAATAAGATTCTTGCTTCTAGGTCACCTGACACTTTTAGGAATACAAAACATTATGCTATACCCTTTTCTGTAGTGCCCAGTCATCAGTGAGGATTGATATATCACCCATTTTAATTTTGCTTTGCTTTTCTGAAATGAAATTTGATGAGGACCAGATTCAGAGAGGGTAAAATGAGAGCTACATCCTGTGTGATGCTTCTGCTAGGTATTTTCCTTGAACACCATCATCCTTCTATCACTGGTGTTAGCCACTGCAGCCTTTTCAAACACGAGAATGGATAGAAGAGTACTTACTGGATCACAGTCTTCAGGGTTAAACGGAGGACAGCTTTTCTGGAAAACGACTTGAATGAACTGGTCATCATGTTTTTCACATGTGTAAGTTATACACTTATCACCAGGTGGGTTCCAGAATTCTCCAACCTGAAAGTAGTTAAAGTGAATAAAAATTTTCTTCCATAAAAACGAAACAACCCCCCCCCCAGTGTCTTATCATTGCTGCCTACTGCGGTTTGACTATTCTGAACAATTTCCTTGAATTTTAGCTGATAGTTACTTGTCACGTTATCAAACTGCTTTAAGACTTTTTCATTAACCAAGTGAAGAGGCTGTATTTTTATCTGGATATGGACATGCTTTTTGTGTGAATAGGATAAGTATGTGGACTCATTTGGAAAGATTAATTTGTGTTTCAATGGTTTTGTCACCAGAATTTATGTGTATCTCCATTCAGATGCACGGCAGAATTTCTGCAGGCTTCACTGACTCATCCTGTCCTAAAACTCTCAGCTAACTTGAGATTGGCTGTTTGGAGCAGAAAACTGCCTCCACAGATAAAATTATCCTATGAGCAAAATGGGTGCTATATTTTCAGAGCTGAAGGCCAATAAGGGCCCGTTGCTCTCACCTATGTATTTTTCTATGTCGATTTCTGAAAGCCATTGTTCAGTATCACAGTTGCTTCCAGAAGTCTTAGTTAGGACTGGACTTTCATGGCTCAAGGTACTGTTCAAGCTGTGTGAAACAGTCCATTCGCTGCCTGAATAAGTATTTGTCTAACATGAGAAAAGTTGCAGCAAATAAGTGTGACAAAGACAAGGAGAGGAAAGAGTGAAAAGACTAGCAGAGTTCACTAAAAGTGAACTAAAGCAGGGTTAGTTACTTGGAGCACGTGTATAATGTTGTCTCCCATAGTCACTACACAAGCCGCTGCCTTGCATGTGCCACAGCACTGTCCGGGTATCTTTGTGTACTTGTAACCCTGTTTTGAAAGAAATAGAGAGGAGATGACAATGAGTCAGGACACTGACCTGAACTAATAGATATTTGAGCTGCACAGGGTAGGAATTACTGACAGCAAAATAACACTCACCACTGGGCAGCGTGTGTCACAGATAACAGCCTCGCACTTGACAGTAGCGTGGTGGGGGCTTGAGTAAGAGGATTCCAAGCAGGTGCATTCTTCACAGGGGCCTGATGGAATGACAGCTCCAGGCTAGGGGAAGTCAGAAGAAAGTCATTATTAGTCAGTGAAAGCAAGTTGCTTTGTGTATGTACATCACAGATGATACAAAGCTGAACTATGTATGGGCTAAACTACCTTCAAATACAATTTTGGTTGTTTTATTTAAGCGGAGTTTCTGTGGTTGCTAGTATCCATTTTGGAATTAAATTCTGCTAATGCAGAAAGTAGAGCAGAAAATGCCTTTGCATGTAGGGAGGGTGTTGACATGCTGACCTCAATTAAATAATTAATAATGTTTTATCTCAGGCCTTTCTGCAAAATATGGTCCATGATAGGAGTCTCAAAAACATTGCGTTGTGAGCCTGCGTGAAGGTGTATCGTTATAGTGAGTTACTCTGTGTACTTACAGCATAGAAGGTTTCATTGACTACACAGCCATGTCCTGTAAAGAAGGAATAAAGACGGTGTCATAGAGGTGTAAGTTTTAAGAAGCAGAAGTATGGGAAAAAACTGCTGCCTTGTTGGCCCAATATAACACAGATAATTTGCATCTTTGTCTTTTAAGGTTTTTGTATTCATAAACTTAGAAAAATATAGCTGTGAAAAACACATGAACATAGTACTTACTGCATTCAAAGGTAGGACAGCATTTTCCAGGCGGCATTATTGTGACTACTTCCTGTCCTTCTAAGCACTGAGGTGTGATCTCAGGGCATAGGCTAGTGTTGCAGTCTGTTTAATGTGAGAGAATATAGAAAATAATGAACTCAGAATTTTTAAATAAAAGTAATTTTGTTTTGCATGCACTTCAGTTTTCCCATGGAGCAAATATGGTGGTGTTTACACAAGCTAGTTTAATGACTAATTCAGTATATTTGCCCAGCTATTTTTAAAATGACTGAGTTTTTCCATAACCTTTGTAAAATGAAGCATTGTCTGAGAAGAATAGAGTGGTGATTGCTGGAAGGAGATACTTCCAAAGAGAAATTTGTACCAATTGGGAAATCTGATGTCTCTCAGAGGTTCAGGAACATTCTTGAGCAATTTTTAAATGTTCAAGACTTTTTTTTTTTTTTTTTAACTTTAAGATTTTTTTTATACTGGTCTTTGAAACAGAAAATGCTTTAAATAGTTTTTGAATACTGTTTCAGCTGGTGGTAGCATTAAAGGTTTTCAACATTAAATTAGAGGAGATTTCCAGTTACTTTTCCATGTCTAACTGTGTAAAATCTTCTAATCTTTAAATTTGTTCTCTTCAGGCATCTCGTAAATGCTCTGCAGGAAGGCCCTAAGAAGGGGGATGAGGGAGAAAAGCATTGTGAAATCCATGCAAAGTGTAAAAAAAGAGAGAAATTATTGCTGTTGTTCTCCAAAATGAATATAGTATATTCCCCATGATAAAGAAGTAAGATGGTACTTACAGCACTCAGTCCTGGTACAGCATGGATCTTCTGGTATCGGTACCTGAACAGGCATGTAACCTGGTTCATCACAAAATGCTTGCTGTATCAGAGAACATTTGTGTTTTATACAGTGCACTTTAAGAGTATTTTTGTCACAGACACATTCCTGGCAATCTTTTGTCCATTTTTCTCCTGGCTATATAAAAGAAAAAGAAAAAAAGGAAGAAAAAATTTAAATATAAATTCAAACAAATATCATTCTACTCATTTCTAGTTGACTTATTCATGGATACAGTGGTACCTGATTACATCAGCCTTTTAATATTTCTAGTATTTTGGATTTTATAAGAAACTTTCAAACTGAAGCTAATTAGGGGAAGAAATTGGAGGCCACCAAAGGTTCTGAGCATATTCACACAGCTATTTCTATTTATTAGTAGTGTTAGTATGAAGGATACAAGACGTCTAAAGGAGAAGTGATTGAGCTTTGCATGCAATTTTGAATAAGAAGTTATCATACAACATACTCATTTGCATGTTAGGTTACAAAGATAAATTTCTATAATTTGTATGCAGCTGAGGAACTAAGAATGTAGACTATCAACACTATCAGCAACAGGTAAACTTTGTTATCCATCTGTCCCTTCATCTCTAGTAACGTTAGCAAGCTAAATTTGTGGAAATAAAAGAAGCACATATGCCAAAGTTCCACTACTACCATCTATCTTTTTTTCCTCCTCTCTTTTTTTTTTCTTTTCTTTTTTTCAGTATCTGAAGTGATGGTTATTCAAAGAAAATCCCATCACTTACTATTAAATTTCGTAAGGAGTATTGTGGTTTCTGGCACTCATTTTTATTTTTAAGACTAAAAGGGAGTGAACTTTTGAAAAAAACCCTAAAATCTCCCCCAACCTAAGCAAAACTTTGTTTTTTGTGAAACATTAAATATCCTCTTGCTTCACTTGTCTGTGCTTGATAAACCACATTGATTGTCGTACTCACCCATCTGGATACTCCATTTGGTTCCCTACAAGCTGGAAAGTAAAAGAAAAAAAAAAAAAGAGTGGAGAATTACACCTCTGAAAACTGACACAAGGGAGTAAATTTATGCAGTTTCAAATACAAATACTGTGAATATAAAACTAGCAAGAAAAAGAATAAGCAGACTAGCTCTTCTGAATTGTAGAATTCTGCCATCTTGGTAGGTCTCATGGAAGGAAGGAAGATGGAAAAAAGGTAATATTGATTATTATTTGATTTTTAGATGGGGAGACTAAAGGAGCTTAAAGAGGCTGATTTGCCCATGACCTGGAAATGTAGAAGATGGCAGTAGAACACAGGCCTTCTGACTATCAATCCTGATCTCTATTTATTCCCCAAACTAGCTACAGATTACTTACAGCATTCAGAGACACAGATGTTGCTATCTTCACTTATGAGTGTCTTTCCTTCAGGGCAGAAACATCCTTCAGTTACTCCATAACCAGGAAGCTCAACAGGGCTAGAATGGGAGGAATGTATGTATTTAAGTACAACGTTTTTGCAGTGAAGCAGGAGAGAGAGCAGCATATGTAGAAGGTCGACATGTCAGATACAAGGGAGATAAAAGAATTTACATTTTCTGAAAAGCAACAGGAAGTGTATATTCATAGAGCTGATTGATACTTATAAATGTTGAATAAATTATCCAAATTCACAAGACATTTTATTATGAAGTAACTCAATTTTTCTAAGGAAAGTAGATAGGTAACAATAGAAAAAAAGAAAAGTATAAGCTGTTGTTTTGGGGTGGTTTTTTCTTTTGTCTTTCCATACCTTGGATCACAGGTAGCAGGGTTAATGGGCCCACATGGCTTGTATACCATGTTTGCTGGACAGTTGTATGCTGTACGGAAAAAGAGGAAAAAAGATAAAAAATTGACAGTAAGTGCATTTTTGCAGCAAAAATAACTGCAGCTTTGCCTTCTTCATCTGCAGCTTCTGTGAGTAAGGATGTCGCTGTATTTTTGTAGACAGTAGTCAAGTGTTAGATGCAAGATGTGTTTACTGAATAAAACACTAATTACTACCATTTCTCAGACACATTTTTGAGTTGTGCAATACTTACAGCATATATTGTTGGTCTTTCCTCTCCAGTCAATGCAGACACCTCTAGCAGCACATTCTGTAGCGTATATCTCCAAACTGGAACACTGCATAGATTCGTCGGCTATGCGACATCCATCAAAAACACAGCCTTTGAAAAATGGTTCTGGTGGTATCACGTCATGGCATTCTGCAAAAATCCTGCAGACAGAAAAGAAACCAAACCCCTTTTATGTTAACCAGTCATTACATGAAATCTGTTCCTGTCAGACAGCACTTCCCAGTTAACAGCATGTGACTCCCTGCTTCAGGAAGGAATGTATTGAGAAACAAAACCCTAAGAATGGCTAATAATCTGGGAGATAGATAGAGGGAAGGAAAGGTTAGGAGATTTGAAGCTCCTTTTGTTTGTTTGTTTGTTTTTTTCTAAAAAGGCTAGTGATCATAGTGTTTCTGTATGTGTACACAACTTTTCATCTATCTGATAGCAGAAATTTCATGAAAAAGGCAACTGCATCAGGTTGAGGAAAAAGGGATGATAAAAGTAGCCGAGAGATAGAAAAATTGCACATACTATAGCTTATAATTTATTAGACACTATAGCAAGCACATGTAAGAGGGCCTTTATAAGTGACCCAGCTGAAAAAAAGCTTTTGTCAGAGCTCACCCAAGTATAGGAAATACTGCAGAAAACAAGCCTTTGTGCTTTTGGACCTCCATGTTTTACATAAAATTTACAAAAAATGAAGGATGCTTTTTGAGTGACATGTTACTATCTGCTCTATTAACCTGGTTGCTAACCAGTCTTTATGGTTTGTACTGAAGGCCCGCTTCAAATTTAGAGTTCAGTCTTAATAGTGTAACTAGGAGTGAGTAAGCATACCCTGGAAGGTAGGAAGGGAGAAATATGACATAAATCTGTGTGGTTGCAAGCCAGGGAGTATGGATTTTAGTACTTGTGGCATCTCTGGTTTTCTGACTTCACCTCTCCTTACTCAGTTATCTTTGGAATGCAAGTCATTAAAGAACAGCTGTTTCTTTTGCAAAGGCCTTTTACTATGTATATATCCCGTTGTTAAGCTGACATTTTTTGCTATTATCACATGCTAAGGCTATAGTTCTTACTCTTCTTTTAAGATACTGAGACAGTTTTGTCTAGAAAGAGTGAATTCATTCAGTTTTTTTTCTTACTCGCTCCAGATAAGCTTGCAGAGGGGAGGCGTTTCACAGTGAGGCTTTGGTGGAGGTGTGGTTACAACTGGTGGTATTGGTACTCCATGGCATGACTCGTTGTTACCAACAATCCAGTGATGAGCCATTTGGGGACAGGAAGAAATGATCTTACCACTTGGTAAGCGGCATTCATCTAATTTATTATTTGTACATGTTCCTGGAAGAGACAAACTATGTAAGTCTCATAAGCCATATCAGAGATGCCCAATACATTATTGTGCTGATACCACATTTAGGAGTGATGTGTTCATGAAATGTATAAGCTGCCTTGCTTCATAGGGGATGCTTTCTTTAGAGTTATATGAACTTGAATTTAGGTTAAGGAAAAACAAATAAATCTAAAACCCCAGCCCAAAGACAAAAAACAGGTTGCTGAAATATTGAGCTTTTGGTCCTACGGAAGTCGAAGAGCAGAACTGTTTCCATTTCCATTTTACTACTGTTTAAAAATTTCTGTCAGTCATGAGGCTACATAGCCAGAGTGGGTGACAATAACCACAGCAGGGTGGGGAAAGAGGTCCACTTCCAATTAGTCCATCTGTCTTACCACACTGTCCTTCAGTGTTGCTGCCAAATTTGCTGTATGGGAGTTTCACGGAGAAAATCAGCCCACTAAAGGTGATGGTTGCACCAATCTCTGGTATTTCAACAATCATGTTGATGCCAAGTGTGGAGAAAGAAATGCCATCTTTTTTGAAGCCTGGTTTGACAATCTTTTTGTTGAAGTACATCTGAATGCAGTGTTAAAAAAAATCACAACTTCAGAATATGCACTGTTTCTGTCTGGTCGTTTTAAATAATGTATTTTCTAATCTTCATAATCATGCATAACTCCATATTGTTGTGCACCACATCCAACGCCCATTGGCATAGCAATAACAGTATATATATGCATTAATTTCTCAGCCTGTGTTACTGTGTTGCTACAGTGTGATAATAATCTAAGTGGCCTCTATGTAATGTCTTTATGCAGATTGTGTGCTAATACACAGCATTCTAAGTCCAAGTATTTTCTTTGTATCCCTCATCGTTTTGTTCATTGTAAACATTTTTCTATGAAAATGAGTGGTAATCTTCCTTAGCCACAGAAACATTCCTGCCATTATTATGTAATAACTTTGCTGCAAAATCACAATGTCCCTATACTGCATGTTGCTTGGCATTGGAAAAATTGTCTGAATTCAAAATGGAGTCAAATGTCCCTGGTGCCAGTTTTGTGTAGCAGTCATATTTATTTGTTAGTCTAAGCTGTTCCATCTGCAGCCTGTATCTTATATGAGCTAATGAGGGTGGACATATTTGCTTAATAACTTTTTGTCAGGAATTATTCTGCAAATTCCTTCTCCTTGAACTGGGATAAAGTAAGAGTTAAAACTGTCAGTTATTGTTATCTTTCACAGGGAATCACTGGACTAAATGTTTCAGCACACCTTTCTGATTGTAGGTAAGGAGAATTTGGCATGGGTCTGTAGGGGAGAGTGCATGTTGAGACAAACTTTCCCTCCCACCTCTTGGTATTCTCCAAGCAACTAAAAAATTCCCCAGTGTAATAGTGGGACTGACTTCTCATTTTCACTGGCTTGCCAGCACTAGTTTAGGATCATGAAGGTGAACTGACACCTCCAGTCACCCATTTTCTTCAGCTATACCTCTCTTCCCAGCAGGGAATTGGTGAGGGAATTAAATCATGGCTTTGTTTGGTGCCTGAAATTCCCTATGTAGAGGAAGCAGTCCCTAGTCATCCAGCTGATGAGGGATACATACTCATCTTCACCATGAGAGAAGAATCATGCTTGTGATTTGCATTTGTGTTTCTTCATAATGTGTTTACTTAAGTGAATGACACAATGTACTTGTTTTCATGAAACATGAATCAAGCACTAGTGTAAGCATTCTTTCTGTCTTCTCACTCTATCAGCTGTATTAGTCTGTTTCCTTGTGTTATTTATATATACACATACATGCACATAATATTTTCATATCTGCATAGTGCTCAGCTATTTCTAACATTTGTTCTTAGAAACTGGTGTAATTTTTTTCTTCCTAATGATACCATCTGCCCTCATCACCTCCATGATATGATAGTCTAACAGACTGTATTTTGAATGAGAATCAGTAAGGCCTATGAACCTTGTTTCTTTTTTTGCAAAAACAGAGAAATAAGAAATACGTATTTTACCACATTGGTCATAACACCATTCATGAGTTCACGGGTCAGCACCACTTCTGCAGATTTGTAGAAAATAATAATGGATTTAGGGCAGGAAAGTCCATCTTTTGCATTGCAGTAATAGTTGTCAATGTAAACGCGGAAGTTGTCATATTTAGGTACAATCTGTTTCACCAGGACGTAAGTGCAGTTTTCAAGGAAAGTATAGTAGGTTCCATCAAAAGTAATGTAATGAGGATCACCCCATCCACTGCACACACCTGGCAGAGAGAAAATATTTAGAAAAATAACATGAAAATTAATGTAGAAGAAAGAATTTAGAAAGTGAAGTGCATATACTACAATTTATAGAGCAACCCTAAGAAAACAAAATGCCCATATAATTGGTGTGGATTTTTGTTTTTCTTTCAAAAAAAGTTATTCCTTAATTTACTGATGCTTACATTGACACTCGTATTGGTAACAGCAGCCATTTTCATCAGGTACCAGTATTGCCGGATATTTGTTTGCACAGGTAATTTCCTTTACAGGTGGGCAGTGCGTTGGAATTACTTCTACCTTGTTGTCTCCCTTACAGATGAGTTCTGTACAGTTGGATAATTTGTATCTTTGTCCAGGCTGCAAAATGAACAAAAAGTGCTGTCACAGGAGTTTGCAAACAGATATGAACTTTACTCGTATTTTTAGTTTAATGGTATATTGTTTCCAGTAATGGTGGTGTTGGAAAGGAAATAAGTGTGTGTTAATTCTCTTCAATTTGTGGTGCTAGCAATTTGTAATGTTCACCAGAGGTATTCATAATTCTGACCATGATACAGAGGATCAGAAACTCTTCTATTTTCCAAACCTGAAACAAAGACTAAAATGAAAATCTTCACTGATGGAAGTGAAAGTCTTCACTGATAGTACAAAGTTGTCGATATTCTACACAACCTATATTTTTTGTGCTAAAAGGAGCTGGGAACCTTAATATCAGCTATTTCTTCTACATGAGGAGGTCATATGAGGTTTGGGGGGATAGGTCTCAGGCTAGGAGAACTGATGTCCTTTATACTACCTATGTATACTGTACTTCACTATCAGCACAGACCATAACCATCAAAAAAAAAAAAAAAAAGATTGTATAGAGAAGTACAGGTAAGAGGACAGGAGAACAGAAAAAGATACAAGCCTCCACCATTGCTTATGTTTTTCTGTGTCATGAAGAAACAAAATGCACAAGAAGACTACCTCTATTATTTCAGTAAGAAGGTTTGTTAGTTATGAGATGCAGTGCATCAGAAAGTATTTTACTAGCACTGAAGTAACTAGAAAAGATTATTGTAGCCTGGTTTCTCAGTATGATAAAAATGTAGAGAAGGCACATAAAAATTTTATGTCATGTATATTGCCCATTACTAGCAACACTTAACTCTGGCAATTGGCACGTGTAAGGTTTAAAGGCTTGAAACTGTTCCTTTCTGATACCACCTTAACATTGATGTTATTTAAACAATCATAACATAAGACAAATAACATACCTGTAGGGGAGGGTAAGTAGGAGAAACACAACCATGAAATGGAACTCTTGGAGAAGTGGTAGGCAGAGGAACTGATGTTGTTATGGTAGACCATTCAGGGGACGTAGTGGTTACAGGAGTAGTAACATTACAATGAAGAGTATGTCGTTCAACTCTGCAGGTCGGACTACAGACGGCGTAAAATCTACATCCATCACTATCCATTCTATCATAAATCAAATCACCTGATTAAAAAAAAGACAAGAAAGTAAGATACAAAGAAAAAAAAATATTTATAGTTCGAGAGTACATTACAAAATTTACAACTAAAATTTCTGAATACAATAACATGAAGTTTAGGAAAAATGTGGCAAAAATAATAACAAAGTACTAAATAAAAGATGTATAGACAGAACAAAACAAAGTAAACTAACCAGGTGAAAAAATAGCATTGCCAATTTTACAGAAACATGGTGTGGATACAGGAGTAGAAGAAGTACTGGTGCAGCACGGTTGAAGTGTGGTAATACTGGTGGTTAGGCTGGTGGTGGTGGTGATAGGTGTGGTGGTTGCGCAACTGGGGTTAGGCCTGCAGCAGAGG